AGAATAAATGACGGAAGAGACATGATGGGGAGGAAGAGGATCCTTATGCATAGAGGAAAAGGCAGAACGAGTCACAAAATGAATCCTTAGTTGAGTAGAAAAATAGCACAGATGGACAGCAGACAAGATCCGCTGCAAGTAAATAGGACATTTCTGAACTAAGTATTGTTTTTCCTTTCGAAAATTAATAATCTTATCACGCATGACACTATCAAGGGTATCACTAGGATATCTATTTTTTAATAGAGTGCAGCGGATAAAATCCAATTCATCATCCAAATATTGTTCACTGCAAATCATCAAGTCCCTATGAGTTAAGGTCTTGATGAGATTAATTTTACACTTTCTGGGACAAAATGAATCCCAACGCGTATACAAACCAGAAAACGTTGGTTTGCGAAACACCAAAGTAAGAAATTGAGGAGTCTGATGCACAAGAACATCAAGAAAAGAGAGACAAGAATTAGACTCCTTTTCGATGGTAAGTTTCAAAGATGGATGAAGTTAGTTCATAACTGTGAGAAAGGAATCAGCTTCCACTTCACTATTAAAAAGACAAAATGTATCGTCCACATACCGACAGTACATAGACGGTGCATTGTCATAAGTGAGGAGGGATGACTCATAAAAGCCCACAAAAATGTTGGCCAAAGCCGGACCCAAAGGGGAGCCCATGTCAACCCCATCAATCTGTCTGTTAAATCTGCATGTCACTTTACTCCAATTGGCTCATTCGCTTGCTTAAACTCAACGTTGATTCTGATTCTGCAGAACTGGTTTGGGTGTGAAAAAGTATTTGTTGTTAACATTCTTTTTTCATTCGGTTCTTCCAGGTACGAGTCCTTTTTTAAAGCTGATTGTTTTGTGTTCATTTTGTTTAGTTCTTTTTTCGTAACAGATTCATTGTTTAGTATAGAGCTTAGAAAAAATTTGTAGTGTGAGAATAGGCAAGAAGTAAGGCATGTAGCAACATCAGCACGGCAAAGGGCACTCTTTTAAAGGCAAGGAAGGGCAAAAATATTTTAAGAAGTGATAGCGATTGCTGTATGAGTCGTACGATTTTTGAATCAAGCATGGGCAACGCCGGGCCATGCTGCTAGTATATATATATATATATATACACAGACATATATATATATATATATATATATATATATATATATATATATATATATGTATCTTTATGCATTAGACATCCGACAACATTCATATTTCTCTTACTTAAACCCCTTCCACTCACCTCTCCTAAAATTCTCACTGTTAAGGTTTAATCTCCCTCCTTCTCTAGTCTGTTACCCCCGTCTTTAGCTCTAACATTCGTCCCACACCCTCATACTTACACTCTCTCTAAATTCTGTTTTTATTTCCGGAGTTGTTTTTTCTGTTTTCTTTTTGAATTTGTAGGTCTGATGAATTGGATCGTATTTACGATTCCAATGGAATAAATTATGACCATGGAATATTAGTGTTTAAGCCTTTTTATTATATATATATATATATATATATATATATATATATATATATATATATAAATATAATATGTATATATAAGCAACATTTTCTTACTTTTGTTTGTTGGACATTAATTTACGTCTCTTAGCATCTTCCATAATTTACCCTGACTTTTTAGTTAGCCTCATGAATATTTATGAACGTCTCTTAAACTTAAAAATTTTGAAAAACTAACAAAATTTTTATTTCTGTTTATAAATACTTGTTGCAAGATAAAATCCTTACAATAATCTAATACATATATAGCATTTAATATTTTTTTTGTAAATTCTCAGGAACAAAGACAACTCACTTTTATATGTTCCGGTTTTATTAAAATTCTATATCACCACTTTTTAAATCAATAAACGTTGATGAGGAATGAAGGTAATTTAAATAATAGTGGTATTAATGGAAAAGTCATTCTTTTAACACACCATTCTTTTGTGGGTTCGATAGTTCAAGATTTCCATTGTATTTTTGCTTAATATTAAGTAAGTATTAAGAATAAACAAAAAATGCAGACCAACAAATCTTTTAATATTTTGAAAGTATAGTATAATTGCAAAAATATATATGCCATTATTCTTTTGACAGTATAAGTAACTTAAATCCTTTTACTATGTATAATATTTTTTTATTTTTCATTTATTGCATGGGGACAAATCAGAATTTAATCTTGACATAATTTAATTTTTAGTTTGAAATTCAGAAAAGTATTCTACATAAACAAGTAATGCAAGAAAAGTTAGGATATTTTATAAATACAAGCATTTGCAAAATTACTTAAATATTACCACTAGCCTTAGCAAAGGGAGAAAAACTACTAAGGGCTACACGGGATAGGAAATTGTGGAGAACCATGATCGCCTATGTCCTGAAGGGACACAGCACATAGAAGAAATAAAAAAGAAAATGTTAAAGTATTAGATCATTGCAAAAGTTTGTGCTCAATTAGAAAATTGAAAACAATGAAAATCAGGCACAAACTTTTGCAATGATCTGATAAATTTTAATGAATAAAAGATTACTAGAATGAATAATGAAACAAAAATAATGGAATAAAAGAATTAACAGAATCATCATGAGAAGAATGGAATTTGCAAATGGTTGTAAATAAGGCAACAACAAAATTATTTAAAAACACAAATTGAACAAAATTAAATTGAACAAAATTAATAATAAATAAAATTTAAATAAAGATTTAAGAGAAAAATTTAAATAAGATGAATCACTAAAAAAACAAATTAAACAAGTGAAGAAAATGTAAAAAGAGGAAAATTAATAACTTATTTTTAAAAACTTGCCACCTGGAACATGGCATTGAATAAAGCAATATAAAAAGAAAGAGAACAAACACTCACTTCTTTATTTTCTTTCTTCAACTACAAGATGCCATAGTCACAAGATATATAATGTTTCCTGTCCAGAGGTACCTCTTAGTCCCCATGAAATGTGTCACACCAAGCTATCTCCTGTTCAAAAAAACTCATGAGGCCAAAAGAATATCTCCATAACAGCCTATCAGATAAATATATAAATAATGTATAAATGAATATGTTCCAGTTCAACAAATGTGATAACAGTATTACAAAATGTAATGGCTTTACTGTTAACAAGAAAAATATAACAAATGAAAATAAGACATGGTTGTGATAAGTAAAAGATTTTTTACTTCTCCATTATTTACAAGGTTCAATCATTTGCTCATTCTGAGATATTGTATATCAGTCATAGAAGACTGAGACTTTGTTATGGTATAACACAAATTTGTGTTGCATTCTCTCTCATCTTCTCCTGACTGGGAGTTGCTAAATATTATGGGACCAGAGATGAAAGAACTCAAACATGGAAGATTTTAACTTAACTCTTTTATTAATGTCAACATGTATTGACTATTTGGTAGGTGTTGTTCACCCTTACTGGGGAGCTGTTCCAGACATGAAAGTGAACACATCTACCTTGCCTGACTTGTAAGAACTAACTCACTAAAGAACCATTCTCTATCTATTATTCCTATGCTAGATCAGCCAATCAAAATCAACTTCCTTATTTTGGCTTGCATCTGACCCCGAAGGTCAACATCAGGAAGTTGGAGCCAAGATACACTTCCTCTAAAAAATAATAGTCTGTTAAACTATTACTTAACAGCTGTACTTGTGGTTTCATTGTTGACAGAGTATTGCTGTTGATGGTGTCACTGCTGCTAGCCTGGTTCCCATAGGTGCCTGGTCAGATTTGCCTTCCTGACATAACAAATCAGTAACATAATACTATACTATTGCAAACTTTTATTTTCTGTTTTAATTTTGCTTTTATTATTATTTTGAGGAATTGTATTAACATGATAAACTGTTTCCATTTTTATATTTCATAAATGAAATAAATCTATGAATTTGTTTATTTTGTAAATTGTTAAATTTTTCAAGTGAATGTTATAACAATATTGAAATATAAATCACTAAAAAATGCATGATATATAAAAATGACATGACTACCATTTACTAGGAATATGGTCCTTGAAGAAGACAACAACAATGATAAAACAGTTGACAAAATGGAATAAGCCTAATTGACTAAATTAGTGATGCAATCTAATCACAATATTTTGACAAGTATGCTACAAGCCTCATTGAACAAATAGATCAACATGACCAAACTATTGTTACTACTGTTATGCTCTGCTTCAAATTTGATCTCTTTCTGGTTCACTCCACATCAAAACCTGTTGGCTAAATATGAACTCTAAGAAAGCTAAATTAAAACTAAAAAAGATGTTCTCTACTCAGAGGCTCCAAGCATCATATCTGGCTCACAAAACAAATCACCCCACCCCACCAAATATAAAATACAATTTAAAATGTGCCAATCATGAACATTTTCACTAAAGGAATAGCATGACAAAACACGCTGAGTCATGTATCTATCCTGATTGCTTAAAAGGATGCTGCTCGCAACACTTGATCAGTTGCAGGTGAGTAGGCAGGTTGTCATGGTCACAACCAGAGACTTCGATCAACTGACCTGACAGAAACTTCAATGCCAGGCTGTACTGACTCTCCCCATTCTCTAGTTCACTTCCCTCACCCACAAAGAGACATTCCATCTTGATACTTTATACTAGCAATACAAAGAATTTTATTTTAACAGATTTTTTCTTCTTTCCTTTCCTTCTCACTTTGTTGTTTCTTTTGATCTCATGCAACCATAAGCAGGTTTATACCACTACTTTATCTACTGTTAACTGTAAATAGGCTGAATATAATTGCTTACTGAAGGCAGATCTAGCTTAATAATATGTAAGCTTATCTTATTTTAATTATTAGTTATTATTTAGATTTTCTTTAAATCTAATCTTCACAACCATAATTATCAGCACTGTACATGTGTTTATCAATTCCATTTCGACAACTGTTTTACTCAAATCCTTTTACTCTGGGACTGTGTGGCTGGTAAATAGTAGTCAAGCCAGAAAAATGAATGTAATAATTGTTTTTCTTTGATTTCAGGAACAAGAACGTCTTTTATACTCTCACATGATGCCTAAAGAAGAAGACCCGACACTCATGACTGATGATCTGTTCAGTCACTGGAGTAACGACTCAGCTTATGTTGGAGACAGTGAACATTTGTGTCCATCAATCATATCCAACACTCAAGGGTCTTCTCCTTCCTCTGATTGTGGCTTTGTTGGCCGAGACAGTAACAGCCCAGATTTTTTAGAGACAACTGACCAAGAAACAGAACTTTACAATATACCAAAACCAGTCAGCAATCTCCAAGATGATGGACAATGGCCAACTGATGATGAGCCTGAAAGAGAGACCCAGTCTCCAAGTGATGAAGCCAAGGAATTGTATGCAAATACCAGAAACAGTAATGAAAAGAATTGCAAAGAATCCAGTGCCAAGCTAAAGGAAAAGCGGAATCACTCAGAGTCATCGATGACCAAGATCTCAAAATCAGAAATACGAAGCAAGGCTGAAAAACACCACAGTAAAACAACACCGGTGAAGCTCTCAATTTTCCAAACCAATTCCACCTCACAAGGTAACAGAAATCTTAGAGTTTATTAGAGATGCATTTCAAAATTTAATATTTTATCTGCATTCTTCTTTTATGTGCCAAGTCCCTTCAGAACATTGGTCTCCACAACTTCCTATTCTTTGTAGCTTTTAGCATTCTTTTTAACTGTACTTCCCACTCCCTGATCTGACATCAATTTACACAAGCTTGTTACATAGGTTACTGTTTCCCTCTGTCTCTCTGTCTCTCTCTCTCTCTTGCCTTCAGTATGTTCTGTGAGTGTTAAATTCTCTAAGCCATCTTTCTTCATTATGTCTCAGAAATTTCAACTCTCTCTTTCTGATACGAAGTATGTTCTTTTTCTTTCCATTTTTCTTAAAATTTCACCATTGCTCACATGCTCCATCCATGATATTCTCAGTATCCTTCTGTAGAACCACATCTCAGTTGCCATAAGTTTATTCTTCATCTTTGAGGAAATTGTCCAGTTTTCTCTACCATAGAGGATGATTGATATTACAGATCAGTTTTCTTTGTTTCCGATTTCCTAATATTTTTCTATTTCTTAATATTTTATTTATTTACATATTTGGTCTTTTATTTTATATTATTGGAAAAATAAACATAAGTGATTTTCTATAACAATATAACTAAAATTACAGTAAATGTAGCAAAAAACCTAAAATGGTAATGGGGAAGGTTGGTTTTCATTTTTCGTATCATTTATCCTAGCTAGTTACAATTACTAACCCAGTTGCAAAATATTTTTCCAATCACTTAAACATCACATTTAAATTTTCCAGTCATACTACATGTGCCATAATACCATTCTTACTCAATGAACCCCTAACTAATCCTATATGTAAATTTACCCTAATCCAATATCTAAAGTTACCATAATCCCATATGTAAAATTACTTACTCTAACAGCTCTAGGCTGGAAGGTCAAATTTTAATTTACATTACCCAATCAGGTGTGAGCTGGCTGTTATAAAAACCTGTTCCTTTATTTTGGTTTACTTCCTACTCCTGAAGCTCATCTTTGTTGTGTTGTTTTTTTTTCATTAATACAGTATTTCACTGTATTTTTTTTTTCATTTATTGACCAAGATGCATTTCACTTTTTTTTACTGTATTACCAAGAGTAATTCTCTCTAATTTTATAAGACAACATTTCATCTGGACTTTGGTGCTAAAACACACAAAGGGTGTAGCAGTGTTTTGCCAATGAACTAGCATTATCAGAAAAAGAATTTTATTTCATAAGAACAATATCTACATTTGTGAGATAAAAACTGATGTAGCCATAAGTTCTATGCTAACAGTTTCTTTTCTTGCACTTCTCACTTGTGGAAATTCCTTCTGCCTCCATGCTTTCCAGCCAACTTTAATCTGCAAAAATTTAAATGCAATGTCAATCACTATCTACTGTCCTCCTGATTACTCTTTTCTGTTTCTTATTTATGTTTTTGTTCCTAATTCTTCCACACCCCTTGTGTCTTAGTGGCTTTACTAACTTACAAGGGGTGATACTGAGTAAAAAAAAAGAAAAGGTGACTAAAGAAAGAACTAATAAAAAGGAAAACCAATAAAACAAAAAAAGACTAAAGAGAAAACCTAATAGAAGAAAAGGAAACAGATTAAAAAAGACCAAAAGCCACACATCTATCTAAACAGTAACAGAGAGTGCTCCATGTTTAAATTACCAAGACAGAGCAATTATGCTTCCCAGCATCACAACTCAGAAAGAGACAATGTTAAGACTGCTACTTGAGTTTCATGCACCCATGATCCTTAGGCAACTAGAATATATATACTGAAAACTAAAATCTGTGTCTATCGAGCAGTCATTCTCACCACACTTCTTTATGGGTCAAAATTATGGATGCCATACAGGGCACACATAAATCAACTTGATGCTTTTCATAAACACTGTCTTTGTTCAATATGTGGTTATACACTGCAGGACAAAATCTCTAACCCTGATCTTTTCATCAAATGTGGCATCGGTGGCATCGAATCCTTTCTGATGCAATCACAGTTCAGATGGACTGGTCATGTCATAAGAACGAGTGATGTAAATTCTCATGTATAGCCAGCACACTCAAACCCTCAGTCATGATGACTTGTGACTTCATGCTAGCACAGCTATCAACCACCCCAAGTGTTCTGTCTACCCAATTTCACTCACAAGGCTTGAGTCAACCAGTGGTATGGTTTTCAGGTACTTTCCAAAGGTGCTTTAATTTTTTTATATAATTTCTCATATGATCTTAAAATTTTTTCTTTTCGGTAGATAAATTATACAAAAACTGTCCAAATGTTTTATTTTCCGAAGTGCTTTTGGCTATACCTTTATACTGAAAGTGCTTGGAAAAATAAAACACTTGGACAGTTTTTGTATAATTCATCTACTGAAAAGAAAAAAGTTATAAGATCATATGAGAAATTATATAAAAAAACTCAATCAAAGCACCTTGTCTGTCATATTTAATGAAGCTTGCATGAAAGAAAGATTGCTGCCTAAATACACAATATACTTTTACAAACTTTGGGGTGGGTTTCTCACACCAAACCAAGGACAAAAGTCCATATAAACATATTTCTGAAAATCCTTCATTTTTGAGTTATTAAGTTTAAAGTTTATGGTAGATGCTGTTAAATGTACAGTCCAAGATAAAATCCCAAAATACTTATTACCACAGTTTGTGTTGCCACTGATCCTATTTCAACAACACAATGACAAACAGCAGTAAAAGTTGGATGACTCAGCTACCTACGGTCTGGAAACATAATCTGATAGAGCCATGCAGCCTCTTGCCCATTACCATTTGCACAGCTCTATGTAAAAATCATATCTGCCTGCTTGCCATATGAATAACCTGCCATTGTTAAATGGAACACTTCTCAGTTAATTCACTATTACACAGGTAGTAGTGAATACACTACTGTACACAAATGTACATGAATGACAAATGTTACTTTGTCTACATGGCAACATAGTGCCATCTACCGTAAACTTTCATTAAACTTAATAACTCAAAAACAAAGGATTTTCAGACATATGTTTATATGGAATTTTGTCCTTGTTTAGTGTGAAGAACTTGCTCCAAAGTTTGTAAAAGTATTTTGATACACCCTATATATATATATATATATATATATATATATATATATATATATATATATATATTTATTTTTTTTGTATAAAAGTGTACATTGAAGTCGACACCCAGAGGTGACAGTCTGTTTCATGATAAACTTAATCATTAGGCCTAATCATTAATTTATATTATATATCATTATATATTATACTTTCAGTATAAAAGTTAGGATTTTATAAGCCTTATAGTTTTTTCACTTGAGAAATTATACTATTTTATAAGCCTTATAGTTTATCATTGTATATATTATCATATATTATATATTATTATATATTATATATCATTATATATTATACTTTCAGTATAAAAGTTAGGATTTTATAAGCCTTATAGTTTTTACACTTGAGGAATTAACCTATTTTGTTTACTAATGAACCTTGTTTAACACCACTAGGTGGCATTCTATTCAGGACTATAAAAAGAAGGAAAATAAACTCTTTTTCCCTCATTTTTTGCTCTAGGATTCATTAGGTAGAATATATGTCTAGTCTTCCCTTCCAAGAAAACAAAATTGCATGGCAAACTGTCTTCTTAATTTCACTCAACCACCTGACACACTCTCCCACACAAAGTACAGCTAAGTGCATAAATGTTTTTTCCTCTCTTTTTTGAGATATCTGTATACATGTGAATGGGATGGAGAGCATCTGTGTCACCCTACTGCACTATCAGCTCTGATGGGCTGGCATGTTTGCTGCATGGATGACAGTTACCTCCTAAAGAGATTGCTCTATGGCAAGCTATCCATTCAGCAGATCAAAGAAACATTACAAAGACACACTGAAGGAGTCTCTCAAGCATTTTGGCATTTCCCATTCCACCTGGGAAGAGTCTGCTGAGGACCATGTTGTCTGGTGCTCCTTTGTAAGGTCCAGAGTGTCTGATTTTGAAGAGAAAACAATCAGGGACAAAGAACAGAGACACCAGAAAAGGAAAGCCTGGCCTGGTTTAGCCCTCAGAATCCCATGTACATCTGTAGCAGATTTTTCAGGGTGAAGATTGAACTCATTAGTCATCTCCACAAAGTGATTCGAAGTTAAGCTTATCTCCACATATGGAGGATGAATGAAGGTATACATGTAACTATAATTTTCACTTTTTCTTCTTTTGCGAGCTATGTTATATAAAAAGTATAAAAATCCTTCACCTTTTGAAGTCGTTTATTGTAAAAGTTTCTCACCCACATCTGTGCCAGGTGTTAACTATTACAATCTTTAAACCTCATCTGCTACATACATAAAAGAAAATTAAAAGATTTTATCAATAAAAAAAAATGCTCCAAATTTGATTAAAACTTTTCTGGCAATAGATTCAGATTTGATATAAGAGAAAGTATTTTTCAATGCATCCATATCACTACTGCATGTAACACAATGTCAGTTTCAAGTGGGTTTAAAGGCAATACCATGTAAAAATTGTCCAAGCTCCCTTGGCACTTCTCAAGCACTGGATATTAAACCCAGCCCCCTCTTAAAGGAGAGGTATGGTCTGTGGGAAATGCCCACTGGGGCTTTGGCTTAATATAATTTGAATCTCCTCAAGCCAAATGAAGTGATGGTATTGAATTGATATAAGAGATCTGATGAGTAAAATTGGATTACTTCCCTTTTATCTATATTTCTATCAAGGTTTAGATTTTTCAGTCATTTGTAAGGAAAGAATAAAATGTGTCTTTTTTATTATCACAATCAGATAATAAAAACGAGTTTATTAAAAAAAAGTGTATCTAGTTTTAGCTTAAAATGAAACAATATTAAACCTTTCAGTTCAATATAATATCTTCTTTCATTTTCCTTAAATAACAAATAAATAGATCAAATCAAGTACAACAATAAATAATAAAAACAAATTCTTTTTCTT